GGGGGGGGGCTACACCTGAAGGCTATCTCGCTTATTACTAGACCGAACTTTACCAAATTTCACACATATAACAAGCGTAGTAAGGAGTCTTAAAATCCACAATCAAATTTGAGAAAAGAGTTTCCTTCCCATGGATACGGCGGCCATATTGGATTTTGTTGACAAGTCTTACGTAATGAATACCGCACTTATCGCAAGCGTGTTAACAAACTTTAGATCTAAAAATTTGTTTATTGCTTCTTGAACGAATTAGAACATTTTAAATGAATTTTTTACTGTAGTAGCATTCAAGTACGAAAGAGAATCACCAACGCAGTGGGGCAATATGAAGATCTACTAACCACAGTGAAGAGACGAAAACTAAAATGGCATGTCACAAGATCCACGGGACTTGCCAAAACAATCCTGCAAGGAACCGTACAAGGAAAGAGAAAGAGAGGAAGGCAGAGAAGGAGATGGGAGGACAACATTACAGAGTGGACAGGAAAAACGATGGGTGACAATCTGAGGAGAGCAGAGGACAAAAATAGATGGCGAGAGCTGGTTTTCCAATGCAGTGGTGCCCCAACGGTTGCCCCAACCACGGGATGGAAGAAGAAGAAGAAGCATTCAAGTTTGCGAAAAATCAGTGAAAATCCACACTCCAGACACCACCAACAAAAATCTCTTCCAGATATCGAAAATTCAAGAGATACATTTTAGTATTACATCTTCTCTTCATCTTGTGAAAATTTCATTAAGATTGGATGAAAAATGGTGGAGTTATTCAAAAAGAGAAAAGTCGCGTTTTGAGAAAACGGCCGATAAAGAAAAATTAAATACTGACTTTATGAGGAAATGGCGGAGATAACATGCCAGGTATGGGGAAAAAATACTGTTTCTGGGGTGTTCTTATTCAATGAAATAGTTGTAGGAGGGGTGGAGGAAGCTAAAAATGCCAACAACTCAAATTCCATAATTTTGAGCCGAATTTTGACTTTGGAGGTGTAGCCCCCCTACGGTATTTGTACTGATTGTTAGCAGAAAAACTGCAATTTAGCACGTGCTCGCCTGTGTGTGTATGTGTGTGTATGCGTGTGTATGTGTGTGTGTGTGTGTGTGTGTGTCTGTGTGTGTGTGCGTGTGTGTGTGTATACCAAGTGATAAAACACCTGAGGCACCCTTAAAAACGGTTAAAATAGAGGTAGAAACACACAATTTCACAAACGTACTTGGTCACCATCCGGATTTATTGTGACAAATTTACAACTAAAAATAAATTCCAAGTTCGAAGGAAATTAGAGCACATGCTTCTTGTGGCGTCCGTTTCGGGCGATACACGCTCTGATGCGGTTCACGAAATTGTGTTTGACATTTACTTAATATTCCATTTGCTCCGGGGGAATGGCCTTGACGTTAGTGATAACAATGGCTCTCAGCTGCTGGGTAGTTTGGAAGTTACTTCCCCATATTTTGTCCTTTAGGTAGGCCTATCCTCAAAGGTGGAAATCTAGGGGGTTGAGACCGTGGCTGTGAGAAGCCCAGGGGTTCACTGTGCCCCCCCCCCCCCG